CCATCGTAATGTGTTCTTTGGCTTTCCTCTTTTCCGCTTCTCTTCACGATTCCAAGTTAGTGCTTGCCTTGTAATGCACATTGGTGATTTCCTGAATGTATGTCCTATCCACTTCCAACGTCTTTTCCTAATTTCCTCTTCAGCTGGAAGCTGATTTGTCCTCTCCTATAAAACGCTGTTGCTGATAGTATCCAGCCAATGACATACTTTCAATTTATTACAAAGCAAGCATGTGTTTTCTAACTCTTAAGAAGTTAGTTGTCAACATTAATCATGTCATTAGTTATGAAACCAAAATATCACTATTATTACAAAATGTTACTTATAAATTGCTTCATAAATATATACACTTATATTGACATATTTCTTCATAAATCATCTCTTGTTTACAACAAGTCCTTGTTTATTAAGTTAGTAGTATACGTGAATAATATTTTTTCCAGTTGAGTAACAATCAGTTAATTCTTTAATCCATCTATCTTACAGACAAACACAGAAGAACATTACGTTTTTCAATTAAAAGAAATTGGAATACAGACTGAACGTTTATGGCTGAGTAGATCGTAAACCCTAAGTTTAATAAAGAGAAATGACACTACCATTGAATTGAATATTTTCAAAATTCTATACTTATGTGAATAGTTATAATGAATTAAAGAATTTTCACTTGAGTTGAATATTTTTTTTAAATATTTTTATATAAATTAGTCATTTCCATTTTTCTTTATCAACGTTCAAATATCAGCGGTTAGTATTTGAAAATCGAACTAAGTTAGGCATATGCTTTTCTATTTACATACAATAGGTGACAAGAGAAAGAAAAAATTACCCTAAAATGGATGGTTTGTTCGTGGAACTTTCATCGTTCTTCTGTACGACATCATCAGCACAAACTTCAGGTAGAAGTGAAGTGATTGAATTTTTCCACATCTGGCTCGCAGCTTCTTTACTTTGGTTGTATCTCCCATTGATTTGACTTTTGATCCTAAAAGTGACTGGTTACAGGTCAATAATAACCAATCAACATTGACGGCTACAGGACAAGCTATAAGTCATATATAGAGAAATTCGAACACTTCACTTTTACCTGAAGTTTGTGCTGATGATTTCTTTCGGAATAACGTTGAAAGCTCCACGACCAAACCATCCAGCTCAGGGAACAAAACTGCTTCCAAACCACCCACCTGAGCTACAAATCTTCACCATCTCAGAAAATTACCCATTTTCAATTTTTGTTGTGAATGTGGTTAACAATTATACTGGTTAGTCAGTAACTTTTAAGTTACTGAAACTTAGTTTTGTGAAAATTTGATTTCAAACAAACAACGGATGAAATACCGTGAGTATCTTGTAGTTGTTTAACTATTTTTCTCTGGACTATTTTTAATAACATGTAAATAGGGGAAACCGATTCATTGATTCCTAATACAATGGAAAACTGAAAAATTCAGATATATGACGCTAGAACTAAACATACACCAAAAGAATACCCACATTATTTCTCAACAGCAATTTATTCATTCTGATTATAAGAGTTTAACGATAACAGGAATATATATTACATATTGTTACATAAAGGAATAAATGAATACAGAAAATGTATTAGTTAAAAAAGTCAACAATTTAATTTATGGACCCACCGATGTTGGATGATGGGTTGCACGAGATAATGGATCAATTGAAGTTAGATTTTAACACCGTTGGATACTGGTTCACTGGTCTAGAAGTTAAGCATTCGCTCACGAGACCAAAGGTCCTAGGTTCGATTTCCGTAAGCTGGGTTGTAGATGCGCACTGCTGAGCAGTGCCATCCACTGCTCCCAGGTTTTCAATGGTGGTCTAGACCCAACGATCTTTGTTCAACACGTCTGTGTAAATATTTACTTAATTGGAATTGACTTGAATATTGTACTCACTATTTGAATCACTCGACAGGTGCCAAGTTCACTAATATAACTCAAAATCCACCTCACAGTAAGTTACTAGAGGATATAAGATGAATATATAAAGCCAACGGTGTCATAAATAAGTTATTTATCTATTGAATATTATGTACTGTTGAATTTCACTTCAGTACTCCACTCTCTTCAAAAAGTTAACGTCTAATATTTAACCAGAAGAAGGTAACTGTAAATAGTTATTCGACTTATATCAGATTTCGTAAAAAAATATTGGTTTCGATATCAATAAATCTTACGGACCACTTATACAGAGTATAATAGTTTTTAAGTGTATTGTGTTCTCAGAGCTGGATGGTTTAGTCATGAGCCTTTCTTCTTCTTCCAACACAACATCACCAGCATATACTTAAAAACATAGAGTTTCTCTACAACTGAATAACATTATATTTTATCGACCTGTAATTAAATTGTTTTTTCGTTTATCAATGTGTGGTCATCCTTCTTATTCTTGATTTCATTGTCTTTCACCTTCAGCTGTTCTCTGACATCCCAGCTCTTAATCTCTTATATTCAATGTGACCAGTATGTGTTGTCAATATTGTCTAGGATGACACTGAAAGCTTCATGACCAAAATATTTAGCTCAGAGAACATAGCAACTATAAAAATACGAATTTTGATCTACAGATATCTCTATCATTTGCATGGTAATCTGTTTAGCCTATCAGTTAAATAGTCTTATTTCTATTTCTAAGGTATTGATTGTTTCTTGATTTCTTTCCATAAATATATCAATTTACTTGACTTGGTGTAAAATATTCACTTCAAACTCTATACGTAAAAAAGATCTATCTTGTTTTTCTTGGTTCAATGACAATATTAAAGTACACTTTATATATATATATATATATATATATATATATATATATATATATATATATATATATATATATATATATATATATATATAGGGGGAGAGCGAGAAGGAGAGAGAGGGAGGGAGGAAGAAAGAAGGGGAGGTATAAAGACCTGTCAATAATTTACTTGTTTATATATTAGAAATTTTATTTAAAAGTTTTAATTAAACAAATAATTTAGTGTTTAAAACAATTTTCCATAGTTCATACAAAATTATTATGAATAAACATAGTGTTAAAAATTATATCACTAATACATTCATTCCTCTAATAAATAATAAATTTACAGAGATTATTGTACATGGCATAATGACTGTAGTAAACTTCACGTTTTTACATCATTCATATCTAAGGAAAACCTGGAAGCACTGAACGGCCAACTCGTTCTATTTTGGGACTCCTCAGCAGTGCGCATCCACGATTTTGCCTCGCGAGATTTGAACTCACAATAGGACGAAACGGCCGTCCAGTGCTTCCAGGTTTTCCCTGGTGATCTAGCTTCAATTGACTCATGCTTTTAACTATGAAAATACTGAAATTTGCACAAAACCCCTTCTGATGATCATTCATATCATTAATTTATCGGTTAAATTAGGAATTGTAACTTATTGATAAGTTGGACATTTAATTTGATGAAAGCCTACCTCAACATTGATCCATACATTTTAAAAAAGGCAATCATTGAATTTCCTGCAAAGTAGAAGATTAATGAATGTCAATTAAAGTTAAGAATATAATGAAATATCCACAAAATCCCTTCTGATAATAATCAACATATGCTCATTGGTGACTGGCTCCATGAGGTATTTCCTGGAGTTCTATTGAGAAGCAGTGATCAGTGGAGTTCAACCAGGTCTGTTGTGAGATAGTAACTCACTGAAGACAATGGTGGACGGTTGCTCAATTTCGTGGAACGGTTGAAGTTAGACTTGAACACCGTTGGATGCCGGCCGGATCAGTGGTCTAGTGGTTAAGCGCTTGCACGGGAGACTGAGTTCGAATCTCGCTCGTCAGGCGGGATAGTGGATGCGCACGTCTAAGGAGTCCCATAATAGGACAAAACGACTGCCCAGTGCCTCTAGGTTTTCCATGGTGGTCTAGCTTCCATTGATTCGGTATCTCAACTATTAAAATAGAATTAAATCTAAATGTAATGTATAAAATCAAATTTATCAACTTCGAACAATATTGTTTTGGAAATTTTTTTCAAAATATTGTATATCAAAATTATTGTAATGTATGCTACTTATGTTGACAGATATAAGTAGTATGTAGCATCAATCGGAATGGAATGTGTAAGTACAGAAGATTGTAAAGACTGAAATGAACATAACAGAGAAGAAAACTGAGAGCGTTCAAGATGAAAACAGGAATGAAAGAACAATTTAGTTTGTAAGAGACAACTGTTGGATGGTGTGTAAATGATGTATTCATATTTTACGAAGACACCTTGTAACTATGCATTAAACAATAAATTGGTTATCCCCATCATGTCTTTGTTCACTACACTATAAACATTGATCAACAATGAAGTTATTTAATATGGGATATCTTATATCATACTACATATTATACATCCTAAGAGTACTATGTCAATCCCCTGAAATCTGTAACTCGTTATTAACGCAGTTTAGTAAACACATTTCTGCTTGTTTATTACAGGTAAGCGGAGACGATGAATTTATATGATGGGATAAATGTCATATTGATTTCTAAGAAATTCATTACAAAAACAAGTGTTTTAGGATGGTAAAATATGCATAATTCTAATCTATCATTCATCCCGCATAAAATGTTGATTCAACTTAAAGATATCCATCACTAGGATTTACTTCAAAGGTTTAAAGTTCAGTACATCCATCAAACAATTTAAGAGTTCTTCAAATGAATTTTAAACATATCATAAATAGTTAGTCCCTTTGATAAATTTGAGAAACAAAGGGAAACAAAGATAATAAAAAGGTACACAAGATATCCCTTTACATTTTAATTTATCTAGTTGACTTTTTATTTTTTTCATATATAACATTTCAACAAGTACTTATATGATCAGATTGTTCGAAATGCATCGAGCAAATACATCACATAATTCTGATCACGTTTGTCTTCTCATTCTATTATTTGAAAAGACCATAAATGCTTGATTATATACATAAACAAATGTTAACATTAATTTCTTTTAGGTAGCCGTGAAGCTGGTTTTGCTCATGCAATATCTGCAGCTGGTGTTGTACATGCATTAGCAAGAAGCTGTAAAGAAGCTCGATTATATTCATGTGGTTGTAGTAAAGCTGATAGACCAGATCAATTGCATCGTGATTGGATATGGGGTGGTTGTGGTGATAATATTGCTTATGCTTATAGATTTGCCAAAGCATTTATTGATGTTAGAGAAAAAGAAAAAAGTTATCCAAGACATTCAAATGAATTAGCACGTATGTTAATGAATTTACATAATAATAGAGCAGGTCGTTTGGTAAGTTCTTGTTTGATTAAATGACTTTAGCATTGATTACATATGTAGTGTATTCTAGATACTTTACGAATACCATCCATTTGACTAAATACCGTCTAAAATTCTCAGTAATTAGGGATCACAAACTTAGATAAGCATTCATTGTCACCGGATAAATCAAACTCGTAAGAGTGTATACAATAAATCGTGTGGATGTGAAAACAAACTCAACACAAAGGGGTTAGTTTCAAACTAAATAGGTTATTCTTCAGTATCGATACAATACACCATGGTGTTGACAGTTAGTCAGATTATCTTTATGCATCATACTTATCTGAAATATTTTAATATTTTTGTATTAAATTAATCACGGCTTGTTGGCTGTAAGTTTTCTGAATTCTTTGTTTAAATCCTAAGTGGATGACTGGAGAAATACCTATATGGAATATTTTTTTTAGTTTATTTAAACACATAAATATTGGTACAAGGAAGCACTAGATACATATGTGCCGCACAAATCTCATTCGATTTGTGTGAGGGCTGTGATACTGCCCAGGTGCCAAAACTGAAGCAGGTAAAGCCTGGAAGTACTGGACGGCCGTTTCGTCCCAGTATGGGACTCCTCAGAAGTGGGCACTCACGAGATTCGAACCCAAGAACTACTAGTCTCGCTCCAGAGCACTTAACCGTCAAACCACTGAGCCAATATATGGAATAAACATAGACATGTTTAAACAGATATTAAAGTGACTGGTACTATAAAGTTTACTTTTGTCACTGTGTTGCTTTGGTACTGTCAAATATTCTGATGTATTATTTTAGTATGGATATATTAAATCATTGCAACGTAGTTTAATATGAGAGGGAATATTTTACATTACTCGGTTAAATTTAGTGCATTTTAATTAATCAGATTTCAACTTGTATCTAAGACAATTACAAGATCTCTTTAACATGTTTTTTATAGAATTTTGAACTATGATAAGATTTTCGCAGTGAATAACTCAGCTCATCATGAACAGGTCGTTGCGGAAAAAAAGTACTTTTCTTTACTATCAACTATTTACTGTTGATTATTTTCCGTTACGTATGTTTTTAAATCTGAAAATTAGTCTCAAACTCTGGTCAACAAACTGATCTCTAACCTTCAATTCAAATATCTTAACACGGAAGTCTGATATAGACTGATACGAACTGTCAAGTTCGGATTACTTCTCTCGAGATTTCAGATAACAGATTTTTCGAAAACCTCAAAAATACCAACTTATCTTGTTTGGTTATTACAGACTATTCTTATATATATATATTTTTATTTATTTATTTTTCTTCTAGGCTGTCTACAAATTAGCTTCTGTAGCGTGTAAATGTCATGGTGTTTCTGGATCATGCAGTTTAAGAACATGTTGGACACAATTGTCTCCATTCACTCGGATCGGTCGATATCTTCGTCAAGGTTATGATGAAGCTATTAAGGCAAGCGAAAATTCTAATTTTAACAGTAGTTCTCCATTTATTACAAATCACTAATCTTTATTGGATTTAGTAAGATATATTCAGAAAGTTTAACTTATGCTAAACCTAACATTTTGAATTTGTTTTATTGACACAAACTGAGTATAATAAGTGGCAGTTAAGATGTAAGCGTTTACCGACTATCCAACTGTATTTAATATATTGACGAAAATAAATCAAATAGGAATTAATTTCCAAAGTGTAGCTACATTGTGCTTCCGAATTCGAGCAAATTAAGAAACAATACGCGGCCTTATTCTTCTCACTATCTAACCAGAATACAAAACCAATTATATTCAGAAGTTATTGTGACAAAATGAATTTTATGCAGAATAGGGATAACGTAACCGATTCTCTAAGGTTCTTAAATGGTTTTTTACTATCTAATTGAGGTTGACTAGATATGAAAACTTATTTAAATGGCCCTACATTATCTTTCTTTACAACTCCCTGATACAGTAATTCATTTTTTCAAAACCTCTATATTTCATACCTAAAACCGATCAACGTATACAAGCAACATTATTATAAACAATGAGTATAATCACTAGTTTCTCAGTTGAATTTCATTCTTGAGTATTTGTAATATTTTCGAGGAACGAGGTTAACATTTCCCTGTTCTTTTGGGATGTTGAGGCCGGTAGACTTGAACTACTTTGTAAGCATTGGAGAACGGTTTTCCCAACTATTGTATCATCAATCTAGAAAATAAATCTCTAAAGTAACAGACTTTCATTGATCATGTATAATGTTTCTGATTGTAATGCTAATAAACAAAATTTAAATCATTGAGGAAAGAGTACTTAACCATAGTATATAAATGTATCCATATGCGATTTCAGATGAATTTGTAAACACTACATTTTTGATTGCCAGTCTGTTCTATCCGAGATCTAATTATTTACCAACCAAATATTTAATATAGAATACCTTACCAATACAAACTTGAAATATTTGCATTTTTTTAATGTACATGATAGATAAAAATGTTCTTTATTAATATTACGAAGTGATCTAAGTTTAACAACAGTTGAAAACCTGACCGTTTCATCCTGATATAATACCCCCAACAGAGCACCTCCACGACTCTGCAACCGTGGATGGAGCCCAAAACCTTCAGTCACACAATCTATCCCCTAACATCTAGACCACTGGGTTGAGATTCGACAGTATACGAGCCTAATTTTATTCAATCGACGATATTGTGTGACCATTTTCCATTGTTTTTAGTAGATACCTTCTTAATATCCGAAACTTTTGAACTTCACTGGTCTGAGCTACTCACTAGAACTACGGACATTTCCGTCCTAAGCTAGTTACTAGTGGGAACATGGATTTTCTCATATGAACTCCATTTATGAATGACTGAGTAAATGGACTCTACATATGAACGTACCAAAACATTTTTCAGTGTATTTGTAATTCTACTAGTATTGATAAAACGAACATTAAAATTTCACTGTAATTTCTGAAATGAAGATAATTCAGTATTGAAGTGTGATATTTTTCACAAAGGTTACCTGGTCAAAACTCAACATTAAACTTGTAGGCTATAAGCAAACAATTAAGCATTACCTAGTGATATATATGAACTACATCCAAATGATTATGTCAATAAATGGTATCCATTTAACTAACGTTCACTGACACTAAATAGCATGATCTCGAATCGATATCGTTTGTTAGACACTATAACGTTTTATTTACTTTTATCCTGAGTAATATTTTATTGATCTATAGAAGTCAGTCAAAATTAAAGGACTATATAAACAAGATATAGATCATTATTAAGTGACCAATCACTTGAAAATATATTAGTCCTTCTAGATATCCGTCGAAGCCAGAGTAGCTTAGCAGTAATATCTCAAACCACAAAGCTGAGTGACACGAGAGCTGATCCACCTGGAAGCATTATCTCTCTTAAGAGTGAGGATATGTCTTTCTGCCGAGTTCCAACTAACAAGAAATCCCAGTCCAGGGTTATCTACCGATCGCCTCTGATCACCCAACATATTCACTGTCGGTTAGTTAACAAATATTATAATTTCCTTATCAAGTTGAATACATTTTGGTAATAATTTGATAGTATCTGAAGGCATCCACGATAGCACAAGGGGTGCCAGGAAACTTGGCTAATCTCAATTTGGCACCCTCCAACCATATGTACCTACAAACCAATAGTGAATAAAGTTGTCTTAGAAATCTTGAAAGCATAGAACATTAGCTCTTTGTTTATTTCATTTGCAGTAAATAATAATTTACATATAATGAATAATAACTTCCTATTCACAAATTTACACATATTTCTGTCATCATATATTAAGCAATGTAATAAGTAGTACAAGCGAATCATTTTCCACTGGGTTTTTTTTCCTTTTTACCCTTTAAACCTGGCAAACATACAAATATGTCATCTTTTATATTATTAGTGAATTACCAATGTCTACATGACGCCATGTTTCTTATCCTACTACTATGTGTGATAAATATTAATAAAATTTTTTTTGTATTTTTATTAACCAAGAAGCATGTTTTGTAGATTTGGTTACTACATTTAACCAAAATAAATAACATATGTTGGATACTAGAATATTCCATTTTTGTAAATTCTAATGATATTTCAATTTTGTTTTGTTTTCACGTTTTAATTAATTCATCATTTTTTTACCTTATGTTGTAATGATTGAATTCGTTTCAATATACTGTAGTGCCGCGATTCGTTAATCGTTTACTTCAATAACCGTTATGATTCTAATCTTAACGGTGCGCAAAATCAGAAGACAAAGGATAGCAGCAACTACAGTTTATTGTCGAATAACTCAGGTCAGAAAGTTAACAACACCTGAGCGAATAATAACGAGCGAGTGAACAGGCGAATAAACGAAGGAACCGAATGAGGCGGAAATGATATGCATGGGAGATGGCTGGGAAGCCAACTCGAGAGCGAGGCGAAAGATGATGCGTATTGGAGATGGCTGGGAAGCCAACTCGACTTAAACAAGCGTTAATCAACATTTATAGTCGGACAAAAATGAGTGACAGACATATGATGAATAAGATACGAAGTGTACACATATATGCTCATGTAAAAGTATAGCCAAGGTTAATAAGCGAATAATGAACAAGATCAAAATATGACTCATGGCAGGCGAATTGGCTTGGCCAGTAGCTAGGATAAAGTATATGGGCTTAACAAATAAACTGATACTACAATACAATGGATGTTTTTTGAATATATTTGTAGATGAATGAGTAGTCGATAAGTAAAACAAATATGAGAGGCTTAAATGAAACGCTGAAATGTTTTTCATTAACGTATTGAAAATCATTATGTATTGGTGAAAGTAGACTTTTCTGAAATATTTGTCGGCGGAGATGATGAGAGAATCGAGGATACATGTTTCGTCCTATTTGGAACTCGTTAGACGGATGCACCTGATATTCTCTCCGGGACTCGAACGCAGTGCTGTGCGCCCCTAACGCCATCACGTTATCTACTTAGCTGCTGGGCCTAGATAGCCACTAGCTTATGCGAATGAGTGAACTTTAATTCATCGCTCAATAAGCTTATGGTTCAAAGTCATATCTAGGCAATCCACGCAAGATGCACATTTACCAATAAGAGACTGGTCAATTGTGGTCCTAAGGATCAGTGGGAAGATTTAAGTAACCAACAAAAAAATGACGCATTTATCATTGTTGAGAAAATCCTTTTTTTAAAGAGAATAGTACAGCTATTAGGGTATTACAACCAATTATCACTTTTCTAGATCACGGTGTATTTTGCTAAATCTAGTTTTGCATTTGTAAGTTTAGATTTGAATTTAAACATCTGAACATCAGGAATATAATTATTATACTAAATAGAATATAAACCCATGCACATATCAACTTAAATCATCATTCAACATACTTAACGAAATATTTCTATGAAATAATTTTCAATTACCTTACTTCTGGTTATTTCTATGCATATTTCCCGGTGACTTTGCTTTCTATAGCCCCTTATTCTGTGGTCTACAGCTCCAAATCGTCATTTTCAGTTAAATCATCAGTCTTATAGAAATAGTCTCGAGGTTTGTAAGTAATGAGTGTGCTGTTCTCATTGAAAATAAAAAAGTTGAACTCGTGATTCGATTAAGGCTAGATCACCATTGAAAACCTGGAAGCACGTGACAGCGTTTCATCCTAGCATGGTACCACTCAGCAGCGTGCAACCCCCATACCGCACATAGGAGTCGAATTTAGGACCTTCGGTCTCGTGTATGTCTAGGTTCGAGTCCCGCAAGCGGAATCGCGGATGCACATTGCTGAGTAGTCTCATATCAAGACGAAACGATCATCCAGTACTTCCAGGTTTTCAATGATCGTCTAGTTATATTGGACTCATGAATTCAACAATTAAAATTAATACAATCTTCACAAACCTCCATACTGAAAACAAATTGCTTAAGAGTATGAATTTTTCAGTATATTATATATTTTATTGACCTCAAAATAGACTACAGTTTTCTCTATACATATATCAATCAATATTTATGTGTAACACAATTATCACTAAGGATGAAATACTTTATATTATTATATATTTTAATTCACACATTCATATCAAAGGTAAATCTAATTGTGAAATAATTGATGACCAATGAACTAGTTTTAAGATTATTTACTTGAATAATGATGACTAATTAATCTATAGAGAAACTGCAATAATAAAAAAAAAACAAAGAACTGATTAAGTGTATAGTTTTCAAGCTTATTAAAGGAATCTATTTGGAATGAATAAAGTTGATGAACTATTGAAATGAATTAAACAGTAGTTTGTTCAGACTCCTAGGTAGTACATATTCAATCCAATATATATCTTACATCTAATCTAGGTTATATGTTAAGTGTTATCTATCTAGGCTACTAAGCAAGAAACCATTGCATTTTAATTCTTCTTAATTTAAAAAGAGCGAAATGAATATTTAATTATGATCCTAATAAAAATTATGGTGTTTTTTTGTGTAATGTTTCTAAAGTTCCGACAATCTCATCTTGTTAGTCTAATGGGGTATGACAATTTGAATAGAAGTACACATCTGTTAGGTTCTACGTTGAGTATGACTGACTGACTTTTATTCACTAAAGATGAATACTGACACGATTGATAAAATAATTAAGACTTTTTATAAATGGTGTATATCGTCGATTCTGAAGGTATTATGTTCAATCCGATCTGAGTTCGTCAATATTAGTTGAATGTTTTAAACTATGACGGAATACTTGAATAGTTTTGCAATTATTTCAATTGTTTTCTGAGTGATATCAATCTATGATTTCTTTAAATAGACAAAATTGCACGTCAAAAATTATGCTTGTATTCAGCAATACAGATGAGTAGTTGTGAGATAATAAAGATATGCAAACCTGATTTAAAATCGTATATGCAAGTATACGTTATAGAGTGGGAGAATGCAAATATCATTGAAACAAATGAGAATAGAAATAATTTAATGATGAACTCTCAAACAACTCTACCAAAAATAACCATAATATCAACTACAAAAATAAAACAAAGAATAAAGTGACAGAATATAATAGACCACTTAACGACTGAAATATTCATGGTAGAAAACAATACTAACTGATTTATTCATGACCCCGAGATTTGGTAATAGGATTTTTCAGAAATTTATAACAAAAAACGACCATTATAAGCAAAGATGAATAGTGGCTGGTAGTGGAATCCAGGACGCGCGTTTCGTCCTATTTGGGACTCGTCAGCTGAGTATACCTGCATTTCAGAATTGATGTTCACTCTGGGACTCAAACCCAGTACCTTTCGCTCCGAATGCCATCGCGTTATCTAATCAGCTACTGATTCCTGTTAACCACTTGCTTGTGCAATGGGCAAGATTCAAACAAATAATACCAAGTGAAAGAACGATTACTGTGAAAGTATATCATTTAATAACAGCTAAACAGGTTTTTTGCTTCAATTATTTTACAACTGAACATTGTAAAAACAGTTAAAGAAGGTAAAATACAATAAAGGAATATAGAAAATATGATTTACAAAGAATAAAACAGAAAAAGGAAGAAAAGCAACGTCGAATGGTCTCAATATTGAATAAAATAATGAGAAGTCCAAATATTTTAAAAATCATCCTCTACGCCTCCCCCCAAAAAACATTCTTTGATTTTAATCATACTTACGCATTTATATCTGTATACAATGTGAATACATTAAAAAAAGGCTAATGTCATATATTTTTATCGGATCGATGTAAAAATAGTTGTACTTGTAATAGTACTGATCCTTTTACACATTGAACAAGGGTAACACTAAAGCAATACAAACCATATAAATTAAAGTTATTTAGTATCTTATCTATCATTAATGAATTTTAATGTACAGTTCATTTCATTTCATACTGAACAGTAAAAGTGAACTATCTCCTTAAATTCTTTACTTTGTAAATGTAAAGATCAGTAACACGTTTCTTCTTTTTTTTAATTTTTACTACTACATACTTGAATAAAGATCTTTGACTAACTTCCTTTCACTTTCTTATGATTCTAATCTCTTCTATTCACATTATACCACACTAGTTCTCATTCATACACAAATTTCTTTTTGTTCGTGAAGTTTCATATATTACTTTTTTTTTCAGTTTGCTTGCTTGATTGCTTATTTATCTTCTTTCTTATCAACTATTCTGTAGAGAATATGGTTATATCTTTTTCTCTTTCCAGTTACATACCTTGATGCTTTTTTCTATACTTTGTCATGCACCGTCGACAAAATCAAATAGGAGATTTGTAGTAGAAGTTAGAATGTTATAAGACAAAGACAGCAAGACAACTACAAAACGTATATACACATATATATTTGTTTCAACCTGTATTCGTATCACTGAGACCATGTTCAGCAGTAAACCATCTATTTTGTTGTTTTTTTTTACTTGCTTCTTAAAATAATCGCTAAACTAATATGTCGAATAAAGACATTTAACATGGTTGTTCTTGTCATTATCTAATACAAAGATGATAATGATGAGGTGGAGGAGGAAGATGAAATGGAGGAAAGTAAGCGATAAAGAGATATGATATACAAATAAGATTTGACATGATTAGTAAAGATAGGGAGAAAAATACCAACTAGTTTTTTTTATGTACATATTTTTGTCAACCAACTGTTCATTATTATGGTGAAAATACATACATAAAGAATAACAATCTGAAATGTATTCATTGTCTTATTTGTACTTGTAGTCGCCGTTTTCGCTATTATCATCATGTTCATCAATAGTAATAATAATAATATTATTATTATTAAAGCCAAAGTATCATCATTATTAGGATAATCATACCATGGTTAGGATTTCTTTTTAACGACGTCTATGCTTATTACTCTTACTACCGCATACTATTTGTCATGTAATCCATTCATTTTGAATCTTAGACAAAAGGAGTTAAATAGTAAATGATAAGTAATAACAACATTGTACATGCAGACATAAATAATTTCATAGTTTGTAATTGACTATGTTTATGTATGTATTGGTGTAGTAGAAAAATGTGTAAGGCGATAGCTAGAATTGAGACAAATAAAAGTAAGGAATATTACTAACAGACTATCATTTATGATCATATGTTTGTTATATTGTAAAGCGAACAATAATGAAAGTGGGAATGTATTCAGACGAGTTGGCTGAAGAATGTTTGTTATAAATTATGAGACCTGATTGTTTGAGAAACATCAATTTTACTCCTTATCTCAAGAACATTGAATGGTTTGTTTAATTCCTGTATATATAAGAAACATATAAGTTATCCGTCTTTTGTCATAATAACCATAAAACTAATCAACTCTACTACTGTAGTTTAAAATGACATTTATTCTTGTAAGAGGTTCGACTAACAAGTTAGTCACTTAGATTCCCCAATAGATCTGGTTCATTGTATTGTCATGTATCAAACTTAAAACTTCTTTGAATTTCATTACAATTACTCAAGGTAAGTGTATAATGGGCGGTAAATTACTAAGATTTCTTGACTATCATTGATGATTATGCATCTGTGAACATACTACCTTCCAATCAAAAATCGTTCATTGATGTCAGTTATTATATTGGCAATTATGGTGCCGATTATTTACTTAACATTATGAGTTCGAGATCAACATAAAGTAAATTTTCAGTGTGTTTAAAAATTTGTGAGTTTTATCAATAAAAAGACAATTTTGGAAGTAATTTCTGTGAAAATAAGTAAGAATCCCTAAATTTAAAATTTTAGTTGAACAGAATCATATCTAGAAATCGACAGAAACTCCTAGAGAACATGATACTTGCCTTGTTCATTTTATTGGATCGCCGACTACACTCCATTTTCAAAAGATCTTGATCAGTAAATACTAAAGTATTACAATTGATTATGCCTAATCAAGATCTTTTATTTCGATAAGTGAGCTAAATTCAAACGTTTATGGTAAAAAAAATATTGTAGAACAATAGTTGCGTTGAAATATAAACTACAAAAAAAATCATCCGAAATGATCCCTGCTAGTTAAATAATTATTATTATTAGTAATAATGGCTTTATTCAATATTCTATTTTTGGTACAATATTAGAATTCTCAGCGCAAAATAATTCAACAAGGTTCTTTTTCTAATTTTTTGACCCAACGTGACGATATATATTGAGTGATGACTAGTTAGATGTTAGAAGTTCAGGAATTGACATCTGAATAATGTACATTCAGTTCAGTTCATACTGTCAGCCACCACAAAGCCTCTGATTGTACTTTTTTGTAACTTGTACAGTGAAAAGTCGTAAACTTTTCATAGACGTACCTGAATAGGTTATTCAATTAACGGACATAATAATGTGTTCAAACAAACAAAAACAGATAACTTGTTGAAATATCTAGATGACAGAAACACATAGCTCATATATATATATATATATTATAAATTAACTGTTTTTGTCATAATTTTAGGTTAAATTCAACAGACGTGGAACAAGACTACGTCGAGCTAGTAGACAATTAAGTCGTATCACACCAGATCATATTACATATTTAGACGAATCATCAAACTATTGTGATTATGATCCAAATACTCAAACTTCAAGTACAAGAGGTCGTGAATGTTTACCAAATAATACAGATCAAGCAAGTTGTGCTACACTTTGTTGTAATCGTGGTTCACAAACACAATTACGTGAAGTACGTGAAAAATGTCATTGTCAATTCAATTGGTGTTGTCGTGTTGAATGTCAGACATGTGTGAAAACAGAAGAATATCATGTATGTAATTGAATGAATTTAAAAATTGAATATAATTTCATTTTATTCAAAGAATAGTCAATGAATTCTTCTTTAAATTTATACATTGTTTTCCTACGCATTTCTACCTCATCATTTCTACCGTTTTTTGTTGGCAAAAAAGAAAGTGTTCATCCTACTTACAATGAATAATCTGTCATCAATTCAATAATGGATCATAGAAATCAAAGTTATTTCAAATGAAACATACATTATATAAACATAATTATTATAATATTATCATTTAATCATATTTTTTAAATATGTCAGCTTGTTTTTTTTTTAAAAACTAACCTATTAAAGTTTATTGTATTGTTTAATGTTTATTTAAGTGAATTCAAGTAAAGCATAAAATTCATTTTTGGCATTCATTCAATAGTTACATCATCATAGCAGCAACACCAACAACAACAACAAAGACAACTAAACATATATGGGTTGACTGTTAACAATCTATTCATTCTCAATCATCATTAATCACTTTGAAAAATTTCAATACAACAATATACACAACTTGTAGATATACATAATGAATATAATTTATGACATGATATTTTTGAAATCAAAAAAAAATAATCAACATTTGCATTTCTTCTCTCTGTGGTTATTCTTTTTTTCAATTTTTCTTTCTTCTCTCTATCTCTCTGTTACTAGTGTCTATTCATTTCATTTTACATTTTATTTATATACAATTTTTTTCGCATATGTAATAAGTTACACACGTGAATGAACAAAATGTTGTTTGACTTAAAGAGAACATTGAATTATATATTTTAAAAAAAATTTTTTTTAATTTATTCTCATTCTTAATTATCATTGGTTAATTTAAATAGTGTACCATTCATATTGACCAATAAGGTTGCATTTTTTTCGAATTATTATTAAATCTTACTATAAATATTAATTTATAATTTTTAAAAAAGACAAGTTTTCATAATTTATAAATAAATAAATAAAATATAAAAATTAATTTTTTTTATTTAAAACATTTAAATTAAATTAAAATTGAAAATATTTAATCAATAAATAATAAGTTTATTTTTATATAGTTGAAATCAGAAGTCAATTAAAGCTAGACGATTATTGAAAACCTGGAAGCACTTAACGACAGTTTCATCTTATTGTGGGACTCCTGATCAGTGCACATACACGATTCCGTCTCGCGAGCTTCGAACCCAGGATCTATCAGTCTTGCGCGAGAGTGCTTAACCACTAGACCAAATTTTCCATGGTAGTCTAGCTTCAATGAACTCATGATTTCAAGTATATAAAATTACTACAAATCTCCACAAAACTCCCTTCTAATAAGTTTATTTTTGCCAATCTTTAAAAAAAAAAAGAAAATAAAAACGTTGAAAAATTCAAACAAAAATAAGTTACAATAAAGTAATAAAAAGATGGAGTTGATCTGAAAATTTTGATATATTTACTCTATATATTTCGAACAATGCAAACAAAGATTATGGAACATGTGCCTAGATGTCTTCAAAACCAGTAAATGTCAAAAGTTCAGATCAATGTGGGATATAGAAATATATGTTCATTAGTAGCAAAACATATAATTGAAACAAGGCACGGGATTGATATCAATATAGCTTTTAGAAAGTTGCATAGAAATTGTCAAGAACGAATTCTCAAATGTATTGAAACCTTGACTATACATAAATTGGAACCCCCCTTGTGTGTCCAAAAACAAATTGTCGTAACCTTGAATTTATCCCGGTAATCTTCAACTCATTTTATATCCTAGGGTAATATGACAATTTCATATTCTTTCTGTATGACGTTATTTTCTTTCTTCCTCATTACCTTGCTTGCTTGAACCTTCATTTAGCAGACCTTTATTAATATTCATATAAAATGCTTTGAGAAGTATATATGTGGCCAGATTGTTCGAAATGCATAGCGCAAATACATCACATTTTTTAGATCAACACTATCTTCTTGTTGCTCTATAAAATGTATAAAAGGGATTAATTGCCTTCAATATTAAGTTGCTCATTCGTGGCACAATAAACTGTATAAACTTTATATTCAGTTGACAATATCGTCAAGAATGACATTTATTTGCTAAGTACCAGTAGATCATGAATAAAGTATTCAGTTCATACAGGTATATGAAACATCCAGATAATGTGGTAGACCTAAAAAAAAGTCCAGTCGAATAGCCATGGAAATGAGGCGAAACAACTTGGCAGTACTCGGAATCAGTGGAACCCATTGGACCCAAGCTCGAGAGTAAAGGCTGGATACAGGAGAGATGCTTCTGTACACCGGTTAAGAAGAGGAAAATTCTCCACACACTCAGTGACTTGTTCTGATGCTGTCCAAACAAACACGAAAAGCACTAATTGAATGAGAATCTGATGGATCCAGAATCATCAAAGTATCCTTCAAAACAAAAAAGGAAGGATTCACAATGAATGTTATCCAATGTTCTGCACCCACCAATGATATCAACAACGACGATAAAGATCAGTTTTATGAAAGGCTAGAAATGATGGTAGAGAAGTGTCCAGGAAAGCACCTGACCATCCTGTTGGGAGGCCCGAACGCCATAGTCGGAATGAACAACAAAAGAAATGAAGATATCATGAAACCACATGGACTGACTGGGAGAAACGAACGAGAATGCTCACAGGTTTGCAAATCTATGTGCATTCAACAAATTGGTTATAGGTGGCACAATATTCCCATACAAATTCATACACAAAATTAAATGTGTCCCACTGGACCACACCACGGAGAACCGAATGGACCATATTTGCATAAGTGGAAAACGCGAGAACCAGGAGAGGAGCTGACATAGCTTCAAATTATCACCTGGTTGTGGCCGAGATGAAACTGAAGATAAAGAAACACTGGACAACTGGTGGAAAAGCATTACAAAGGTTCAATGCAGCCTTCCTTCGACATACTAAAAACTCAACGAATTCAAGATAGCTCTGAGCAACAGGTTCCATGAATTACAAGATCTATTCAAAGAGGAAGAAACTACTATGGAGGACAACTGGAAAGGGGTCAAAGAAGCATTGACTTCAACGTGTCAGGAGATTTCGGGTTACAAGATCATCATCGTAAGGAATGGATCTGTATGAAAACCCTAGATAAAATTGAAGAAAGGAAGAACAAAAAGACAGCACTTAACAACAGCCAAACAAGAATAGCTAAAGTCAAGGCACAGGCCGAACAAACCATAGCAAATAAGCAAATGAAGAGGAGCATTATAGCTGACAGGCAAAAATGCATGGAAGACCTAGCAATGATAGTAGAAAGTGCTTTAAGAGAAGGAAATGTGAGACAGCCATATGGCACAAAGAAAAAGCTAGCAGGGAAAACAGAGAAACTAGTCAAGAACAAAGATGGCAAGCCAATCACCAAGATTCAAGAACAGAGGAACAGATGGGTAGAATACTTCGAGGAACTACTGGATAGACCAGCCCCATTCAATCCATCATACATCGAAGCAGCACACACAAACCTTCCTAGAGATGTCACTACTCCACCAACGATCGAAGAAATCAAGATAGCCATCAGACAAACCAAGAATGGGGAAGTAGCAGGACCTGACAATATACCAGCTGAAGCACTGAAGTCAGACATTGAAGTAATAGCAAACATACTTCACCTTCTATTCAAGAAGAATGGGGAAGAGGAACAAATGCCGTCGAACTCGAAAAAAGGATACCTCATCAATATATCAAAGAAAGGAGATCTGAGCAAATGTGAGAACTACAGAAGCATCACATTGTTATCAGTAACGGGAGACGTTTTCAACAGAGTGTTGCTGATCCGGATAAAAGACGCAGTAGACGTTTGAACTCAAGGTCAACAGGATGGATTCCGTAGTGATCGGTAGTGCACAGACTGAATTGCGACACTACGGATCATTGTTGAACAATCGGTTGTGTGGAACTCGTCACTATACATCAACTTCATTCACTATGAGAAGGCGTTTGACAGTGTGGACAGGAGAACATTATGGAAACTTTTTCGACACTATGGAGTTCTTGAGGAGATTGTCAACATCATCCGGAACTCATACGATGGACTACAGTGCAAAGTGGTGCATGGAGGACAGTTGACAGCTGTATTTCCAGCAGGAGCCGGAGTGAGACAAGGCTGTCTACACTCCCTCTTCCTTTCTTTTGGATATTGAGTTGATTATGAAGACCTCAACATCTGAGGTAAAGCACGGAATCAGTCGAATAAGCTAGAGAGACTTAAAACTCAAGCCATCATTGGAAAATTTCTCTGTGTGCAACGTTCAGGATATAAAACACAAACAATGATGACTTTCCTAGTTCACGAATGTTGTTGAAAAAATATTTGAAACAACTAGGTCTTAAATTGTACTGAACAAATTAATTTGTTATAGAACCTCAGTAACTAACACTATAGATCCAGAAGTATATCCATTACCGAAAAAAGTCCTCTAATCAGAAGTGATGCCAATAAATGTTAGTTAGCCCATATCAATTACATCCTTCTGATAATAAATATAAGTAATTAACAGTTTACTAAGTCATTCAAACACTGACACTGATATTACAAGCTAAAAAACGTTATTTATGATTTTCTAATAAATGATGGTAACAGTTGGTAAGAAAAGATACAAAGAGAAATTGTCGAAAAAGACATTTATAATTATCATAATTAGCAAATGTACCACGTAAAGAACAGTCTGTAGGAGCTAACCTAGTTGATCACGTTTTCTATTATGATAAGAATCTGTACAACTTTTAGTTGGCATCATGTTAATAACACATGCCATTTAATTTCAGATAGGTTATTTACTTATTTCATGCATCTTTCGATATTTTTCTCGAAAGAAAGTTGCTGAAATACCTTTTACTGAGAGTTATATACTGTACTAAACATATAATATTGAATAAAGCTATTTATAATAATAATATCTAAAATATTGAACTAATTAGAGTTAAAATTTATACTACTAACAAGTAAGCAGTTGAAGAAGGATAAAAACAACCTTACTGAGAGCATTTGTTACTGATCTTTGGAGGATTTTTGGTTCATTCGCAATGCAGAACAAGCCATCATATCACATAGAAAGCTCAACAAACAAGCCATTGCATAGCGATATAGCACAGAAATGTTTGTAACATATATTTGATAATAAGCCATGAAAACCTCATAGATCTAACATGAATGACATTAAATAGGAAGAATATATTTGTTAAATCTCAGTGAATGAATTTGAAGTAAATTCAACATTTCGTCTGGCAATCTGGTCCAAGCTTTTTCAAGGAAATAACATGAATGTCCGGAGATACTTTTAATTTATATGGATTCTATGTTCATTGGAAGAAGTGAAGCTTCGAAATCAAAAGACCATTTTCAAATCACTATTGACACCGCTCTACATTAGTTACATCGGGTTTACGCCTTCAGTTTATTTCCTACTTTTTATCAGAGCATGTTACTCGTGAATCAGTAAACTTTTATTAAAAGTATTCTCGATCAGAATCTAAGTATTCAGTCTGTTTATTGATAGTTAATAAAACTAGATCAGCTACATCAAACCGCATATTTTCTTGTTTTTCACCGTCCTCATAAAGTGACTTCTGATGATCTCATTAAGTCATATGTGAACTTTTGATTTAAACAAACTTTTTACGTACACGTAAATGAGCAAACAGAATGTCTCACCACTACTCAACATCTGGTATGAGTTTATTCGAATGAAATTGACAGGGATTCACTGTTATAAAATTCAAAAAAACTTCACAGTCATCTTGAACAGATGGTGATAAATACAATCGTTCACATATGTTAAATAATGTAAAAATTCAGTTACCTTTTCTTTTTTAAATCAACGTACATTACATTATTCGATGAAGATAGCAGAAGCTGATTCTGTTGTAAAGGTAAACTCATTCAACAAGTAATAATGAAGAAACATTACTTAAATACCGGGTGAAATTAGTTA